GAGCCACAGCAGCCTTCATTCAACAATATGAACCTCTGCAAGGACCAAATAATTTCCTTCTCAGTTGCAGCCTCTTCCACAGACACGTTTTCCCAAAGAAACAGTAAATAGAACTGAGTTAACATGTCTTTGAAATTAAGAGGTTCCTGAGACCATTATATTGTGACAACAACATAGAATCCTCCAGACAAGATGGCTGGTTGAAAAATTCTTTCTTGGTGTATTTCTGGAATAACTTTCCTTCTTTGTAGAAGATACTTGGCACCTTTTCCCCATCAATCCTATTATTTTAGTTTGTTTTCAAAGCTTCTCAAAGCTTCTGTACTAATGCAATTGCAGAGAAACTGACTGATACACAGAGAAAAAGCATTTAACACTCCACTCTGCTGGTTTCCTGTCTCACAATACTACCCATTCCCAGCACTGAGCTGAGTTAGAGATAAGTTAACAAAAAGTAATTCTCATCCTTCTGTAGCTCTGCATATGCAGAACCTTTTGAAAGCAAAACCAAAGGGGGAAAGTACTTCCAGTTTATTTTTAGGCTGAAGACATGGCAAGGAATGAGCCCTCTTGTTTCTTCTGCTGAGACTGACAAAAGATAAAAAATTATGATATTTCCTGGGATACAGCAAAGAGCCAACAAAGCTCCACTTGTGCAGCAGACATGGACAGGTTGTGCTACCTTGCCTGGATGCATCAGGGATCACCTCTTGCTCCTCAGTGTATCCTGCAACTGACCAAACTTTTCCACTACTTTTCAGATCAATTTAAGAGCATCACAGTTGCTGTAGATGTTATACATAACATTTCATCCTGGCAGAGTTTAGCCAATAAGTATTTAGCCATCCAAGACAGAAATTCCTGAAATGCCCAAATGATTTAAAAGCACAACTCCCATTAGGAGCTGATGCCCCTCTGGCAGTGGGTGAACTCACACTCCTGAGCCACCTCAGGCAATTTGGAAACTGCATTGCTGATGCCTAAATAACCATGCAGAAATGCAGCTGATACCAACCACCCTTGCAAGACCCAGCCTCCCAAACTACTCTTTGAATTCTGTCATTTTTAGGATTCAGATTTTAGATGGGTGAACCAAACACTTGGCATTAAAAGGAGCAGAATCTCCAGGTGTGCTTTCCCATACTCAGTTCATAGCAGCAGGCAGCCCTCAGAGCTTCAGAAAATCCTTTATCATGTAGATATATCCATTACTCTGCCAATATTTCAATTCCCAAGCGTGGGCTGTGTCAGCAGTGTAGCGAGGTAGAGAGATAGATGAAGAAGCAAAGCCAGCAGAACACATCTAACAACAGTAAATAAAACAGATAATTTGGGGGGATGGGGGAACTAACCAAACCTATACACAGAGGAAGCTACAAATATTCTTAAAAAAAAAAAAAAAAAAAAAAAAAGAAAAAAAAAAAAAAAAAAAGGAAAAATAAAGTTCTCAATCAGTAATAACTCAGTAAGTTGAGAAAACTTTTGAAGTTCTGTGACCCCTTTCCTGTTTTGTTTTCACAAAACAAGTGTCACTGTTCTTAAGTTTACAGATCTTTTGTTTCCTGAGCAAGCACACAAAAAGCAGGTGAAGACTCACCTATAAAGATCTGCACCATAATCCAGTGAAACAGCACAAAATGGGACATTTTAGCTGCTGGAGACTCCAGGGCAGCGAGTAGATGGAGAGAAAAACTAGATCTTCCCAGAGATGCTGAGTAAGCCCCACTGATCTCATTTCTCCATTTCCAGATTTTAAGTACAGCAACTGCTTCTCTCCAATGCTTCCGGGCAGAGGCTGGTCAAAAGAGGTGATTCTCCTGCTGTACTCAGCACTGGTGTGGTCTCACTTTGATTACTGTGTGCAGTTCTGGCCCCCACAATTTAAGAAAAATGTTAAGGTCTTTGAATGCATCTGGAGGAGGCCAACAAAGCTGGTGAGAGGGCTGGAAGGCATATCCAAAAAGAAGCAGCTGAAGGCTTCAGGTTTGTCTAGTTTGGAGAAAAGGAGGCTAAGGGGCTACCTCATGGCTGTCTGCAGCTTCCTGAGGAGGGGAGATGGAGAGGGAGGTGCTGAGCTCTTCTCCTGAGCATCCATCGACAGGAGACATGGGAATGGTTCAAAGCTGCACCAGAAAAGGTTTGGACTGGACATTAGTAAACAATTATTTATCAAGAGTTTGGTCAAACACTGGAACAGGCTTCCTAGAGGGGTGGTCAGTGCTCCAAGCCATTCAGTGTCAAACTGGAAAAGAGGTAACCTAAGTAGCACCATGAACAACAGGTCTACAAAATCTTGAGTAGCACAGAAAGGCTGAGAGGGATGAGCTGCTCAATATCCTCCCCAACACAGCAACAAAGGGCTCTTGTGCTTGCAGACCTGTTAGACTAGGTAGGACATTGGAGTAGGAGGCTTTCTCTCATTAGCATCCTCATCCATCACACCACCATAGTGGCACCGAGTAGACTCCCAATGGTCTAGGCTCCAGCAAAGCCAAGGTGCCTGGTTTCTTTCACCAGCATGTAGCCAACTGGTGCTGCTGTACCCAGCTTAGCAGCAGATTCAAGCAGCTTGAAGTTCAGAGAACTATTCTGAGTTTATTCTGAACAAAAGTGATGCCACAATGTTGATCACATGCTTTCATGCAGCATAAACAGCCATCAGTGGGGGTAGACAATGGTGCAGAAGTGTTCTATTGTCAACAATACAAGGCAGGTTAACAAGCAATCAGTAAAAATTGCTATATTCTGCCAGGTACAGTTCATACAATGCCAAATACAAACAGCCCGAGCTGTTCTGTGGGCAGAACTAATGAAACCTGATGTTTCCAATACCCTGGAGACTTCTTCCTTCCAATGATCCCAGTTTCTCTTTCATCTCCCACCACTTACCATCAAGCAGTGGCTGCAAGCCAATGCCCAATTTATGTCAATGCAGGGAGCAGCTGAATCCCACCTGAGGCACAAATTTGGGCCTATTATTTGGCCAGCAATTCCCAAGGAGCTTGTCAAAATGCAATTGGTTGGTATGTTGCAGGTGACTAGGGAAGGAAGACAATGAACAGCAGCATCATGTCAGTTTCGTTTCCTTAACAAGACTGGGCTAACTGCAGCAGAATTCATTCAGAAGGCCACCCAAAATCCAAGTGTGCTGGGAAGAGACAGAAATCCATGCTTTGCTTTCTGCTGCTGTACTGCTATCTAGTGGCTTCTTGCAGGCAGAAAAGGCAGAGCTCTCTCAAAAAAATCAGCTTGCAGCTCATTACCCTTCTCACGCTCAATGTGCTGCCAGTTTGGGTGCAGCTGGATAATCTCTTAACGGGTGAACAGGCTCCAAGTGCCACCTGCACATCTCTGAGGCTCATTTTGAGATGCCTGTTCCAAGATCCACTGCAATTAGTGGAAGTAATGAAAAAAGCACTGGGAACTTCTGCCTACATGCATTTGTATGCATTATACTGCATATCCAAGGCAAAGTTCTTGATCTGCACAACCTCTGCAGAGTCCTGTTTACCAAGTAACTGCACGGCAGAAAGGAAACTTTAATCAAGATTTTGGTTACCAGATATTCTTGAACTTTATTTTCTGTGGAAAACTCACTGATACAAGAATTAGTTGGAATTAGTCTGTAATACTAAGAACAAATCATTATGGGCAAGCAGTTTACATGATTAGCAAGCTTAAGTATGGTCCTCAGACTCTTTAAGAGCATTAGTGGTTGGAATCAGATGATCTTGGAAACCTCACACTTGTCTGTCTCTGATCCTAGTGGAGCTCGATTTGTCAGAAGTTGCAGAAAACAGAAATTCCTGAAGATACTTTTTGAGCTCTAGTTCAGAGACGAGATCAGACTTTCTCCAGCTCCAGTCATGGGCAAGAAAGGTCAGTAACTTTACTTTAGTAACTGTTACTCATAGTTAAATACAAAAATATACTCCAACACCAGCAGGTCCTTTATAGTTCCGGTACTTTCTTACACAAAGCAATAGATGACATGAAGACAGATAATGGCAGAGCTGGGTTCCTCCATCACTTCTCCTGGCCCAGGGATCAGTATTCACCTAATGTCTCTGCTGCCACCCTGTGCTTTTCAGTCAATGGCTGAAAATTCACCTCCATGTTTCCAACAGCCAGCCCCAGAATAAAGCAGAAGTGGAAACACAAACCACACCAGGGTCACCTATCCCAACTTCCTTTCCATTTCTTCCTTCTGCAACAGGATGAGGAAATTTTCCCTCCTTTGCAAGTCTTTGCAAGCATGTCCACCTGCAGCATCTCACCTTGGCCAGGCTCTCCAGGACTCCTGGGGGAAATTGCTCCCCTCCCAGCCAGCTCAAGTCCTCCCATCTCCACCAGCTGGGGAAAGAATGGGTAACTGCTCTACTGAACCCAGCTGTTAACATAAATAGCTGCTGATTTTATTCTTGCTCCTCTATGCCTCATTGGATAATCCAGCTTTATTCTTCATATGACTCCCTTGAAAATTATTAACTCAATGACAGAAAGTTTGCAGTAAATCTGCAAGTCTTCCCTGTGGCAGCAATGTCTGCTTCAGGTATCCCACATTTCTGCTTGGGATGAGCTTCAGGGCAAAATTTGTACTGATAAATATTTGGTCAGGGTTTGTCTTCCTCCTGCTCCTCCTGCTCTTCTGCTTCTTCAGGAAGTCCTCGCCTCTGTTTAAAAATATGTTCTTAAAAAGATTAGGGAAATTTAATCTTCCACTGAAGCTGATTTGGGTGTGTTAGGCCTATTGCTTAACAATGAATAGTGTTGATTCATCCTCATGAGGCTGCCTTCATTTATTTATTTTAAGTAAAACCAAAGTTCAGTGTTTTAGAGAACAAAAGGGGTGAGCGATGTCCAGCTGAGGAGCAATGGGGGAAAGGCACTAGGCTGCAGAGACACCCCATTTATGAGCTAAAAGTCATCAAAGAAATCCAGCATAGAACAGAGTTGTTGTGTATCTCAAAGGGTGTAAAGTAGGGCTGACTTTCAGCCACTGTTTGTGTAATGCCCTTGACTTCTCCATGAGCTAAGTAAGAATTTAATTAACTTTGCAAAATAGCTGGGTTTTGTGCCATTGTTTTAGGGACCTGGAAGTGAGTCTTTTCACCCTGAGGACTTCCATGGGTATAGACAGGCCTGAGAAAAAAGCCACAGAAAAAGTTATGTATTTTGCAGAGGAAAACACACTTAGACATAGTTCCCTGAAAACAAGCTGTAAATATTCTGTACAGGGAAGTACTGATCCTATAGGGTCCAAGGACATTCCATGAGGGGGTGAGCATCAATAACTCCTCCAGATTTAAATGTGGGTGGACAGGAATTAGTACATTGCCTTACTGAGCTGTAACCAGGCTTGGGTTATACCTGATATTAGTGAAAATTCAACTAAATGAGTATTGAAATACCAATAACACCAATTTTTTTCCATATGTTATCTTTGTCACAGCAGCCACGAGATTGATTCTACTCTCTGATGGCACAAACTCTTTTGTATCTGACAGATAAAATACCCAGTAAAGATAACCTTTTAAAAATCTGTGGTTTTCCTCTTGTGACTGAGTAGACATTCTGGCACTTCCTCTTTTTTCAAAAAAAACCCAAACAAGTAATAGAGAATTTGAAGCAGATAATAATATAATAATAATTTTCCTTAGGGTTTGATAACTGGACTCTGCAAGTTTTCATTCAAGCCAGTAAGGTTTCCATTTCTGGAATGGGCCGATAAAGGGTTAATTAGCAGTGTATCTTTTATTTGTTAGGATAAAGTGAATAATGCTTCAGTAGTCCTGTCACATTTAGCTGCTGAGCAGGGGGAGCAGCCAACATTTTGCAAACTATTTCATGTCCCAGCGATGACAAAGGCAACCATGCATATAGTCCTTAGTGTATAATATAAACATTTTCCTCTGCACGGATCTCATCTTCCAGGGCACTACAGCTCCTTGCACCTTCTGGCCTCCAAAATGCAACGAAGCTGTGCAAAAGAGTACAAACCATGCTGTTGAATAAAAAACAGACAACAGAAACACAGAGGAGCAGACAGCTAAATCAAGCAGCTCACTGAAAAAAATGTAAAATATGCAAAACCACTTATTTAAACATGATGGATAATTAATCATTTTTCCACTTACGAGACAACCCACACTTGAAATTTGAATGCTCCTTAATGCAATGAGCTGACAGCTAGACCCATTTTTGCTTACTAACTAATGATAAGTAGCAGCATGTATTGATTTATTTTTGCAGTGTTTCCTATTAAGATTTATAAAAGAAAGTCAAAGTATGCAGTGGAGGGATTAAACACACTGACAGCATTTTCTTTCTGCAACCTAGTTTGTCCAATTAGCTAAAGCAGAAACAGAATACTTACTTGGCTGTCTTCTTCGTGTTGTGTATATATTCTAAGGAACATCCAGAATGAAAAAAAAAAAGAAAAATAGAGAGAAACCAATTTTCTTTAAACCATCAGAAGCAAGTAAAGTAGCAGGTTAAAAATACAAATTAAAAAAATCAGTGTAAGAAACTAAATAAGGGAACTTCAAGCAGATATTTTCAGTGTAGGAAATCCCCATTGTTTCCATGAGATCAAATTCATATGGCTTGGTCTGAGCACGAACCTCTATAGGGAAAGTCTGGCATGTAGAAAAATATTAGATATAGTTATAAGAAACCTCCCATTGGGAAGGACTGGGACAACATGGCAACTGAGGAATGAGTAGGAAGAAATGAGTGGGGTAGGGGAAGTGGGCTTGTATCACTCTTATCTTCAGCAGACCCTGGGGTCGACTGGTTGCTAAGGAGTATGAGAAATAAAATGGCAAGACCAAGGTGGCACCTGCACCTTGTCATTCTGTGCCCCAGGGACTAAGGGGAAGAGCTGAGCTAGCAACCACAGAGGAGGGCACAGAGTCAAGCCATCCTTAGCTCACTTCTCTGAAGCAGAAGACATGTGGCATTTGCCACAGTTGTGATCAGATGTACCTGACCCATCCTTGAAAAACCATGTGTGAAAAGTACTTACTTCTACTGAGGAACAGAATCAAAATAAGGATGGCTAGAAGTACCACACACAAACCAATCCCAATGTATAGCCCATTTTCCGAATACTGCTGACTGGTAAGTGATACAGATATGTTCTGCCAAACACAAAACAGATGAGCATTAGTGACAGTAAAAGCAAAAAGCCCACACAGTACCCAAAGGCCATTTGTGTGTTTTGCAACCCTGCAGTAAAAGTACACTTGAAAGCAAGTGTATAGTTTGAGATACAAGACTAGTTTCAGGCAGCATCCCTGCAGCAGTTGTGTGAATCATGCTGTTAAACACTTAATTCTTGAGATAGTGGAAGAACCTGAAGGAATTAAAAAATCCATTTGTTCAGGTTTAAAAAAACAAACAAAATATTTGCCAAATAGTATTATAATTGAAATATCTCCAGGTGTCACACACACCATTTGTCCGTTTATTCAGTAGTTATTCAAGGCTTTATACCTCTAAGTAAATATGCCTCCTCTTTGCATTGATTTTTATTCAGGCAAAACTTCTTTCTGAAGCCAGCTGCTAGATATCTAACCCTTTCATGAGGAACTCAGGCCTGGGAAGATCCTGGAGTGTGTTACCTGACTTTAAACCTGCACATGCACCACTGTGAGTGCCCACAGCACATACTGCCTTGCAGTATGTCACAGCAGTCCTTCCCAAAGGCTCAATTGGCTGTCTTCTGTTTCTGATGAAATTTGCATGATGCCACTGCCTGTCACCCTGCAGTGTGTGCTGGAGGGCACAGCAGGACAGGCAAAAAGCTGCTGTTTAAGCCCGGCTGCATGGGGCGTGCAGGGGCATTGCTGTCCTGTCAGCTGCTCCCATTTCCACTCTTCCCCACACCCTGCCATACCTGCAGGTTTGAGGTTACGTCCCAGCAGCCTGAGGTGCTCGAGCAGGGATCAGAGGCCTGAAAGGCAATATAGATGTTGTTAAAGCTCTTCCTGCATTAGCAGGAAGCACTTTATGCATGCAAAGCAGTTTTTTTCCCTTTCATAATGAGCACACAAGCATTCTTTCACAAGTCTAAAAGCAGCCTATCAACAAACCCCTCTCTTTTGCAACCAAGCTAAAACAGTACAAGTGAACTGTAGGGATGACCCAATAATCTCTAATGTCCATCCAGTTTGTCTAAATATGTCACAGCACAACAGAGATGCTTACAGTCTGAGGAGCTTCTGAGGCAGAAACCGATGGCCATGTTCTTGTGATGGTAAAAGGTGATTTGCTGGTGCTCCCAGGAGCTGAGCAAAGGCAAGACAGACACATCACTTGCACAGAGAAGCACTCTGCCTTGACAGAGAGGTATTCGCACTGCTGATTTGGGAATACTGAATTTAAGTATCACACTGTCAGGAGTCTTGGCCCTGAATATCATAAAGAGGTTGGTATCTTCAGAGGGCAGCACAAAGCTGTGAATATTGGGCCCTCTGCTGCCCTTTTCAGATCTTTGAATTCCTTCCAGGAAACACTTAACTCTTGATGTTATCTCAACACAGGGCCTAGAAGGAAGAACTTACCGAAGTAGGCATCTCTTTTTGGAGCAAAGAGGCAGTGGATGCCTAAAGCAAACTTAGGTTATCTGATGAAAACTGATTAAGTTTAGCTCAGGGCCTTGAATGAGCAAATGGTGCAAAGTTAGAGAAAGCAAATGGTACTTCCAAAGGCCCTGACAACTATAGAATAAATGGACTGACCAAGTTGTGATAAATTTGCATAAGGACGTGCAGCATATTTTGAGGTAATTTTCCAGAGCAAAGCTGTTTGCAATATTTAAAATTCAGAGCTACAAACTTCTGTCTTCCATATAATTAGTCTCAGTTCTTCCATGTGTTGCCCAATGATCCATAACCCTCCTGAAAACAAAATCTCCTGTTCACATTATGACAAGCCGAGCTGTTTCCTTTGGTGTTTTAAATTGCTACCCTTATCCCAGAAGTTTTATTTTTAAGAGGACAGGATCATCTGCCACTGGAGATTCCAGAGCATTCCAACATCAGAGGCACCTGCCTTTTCCAGTTTCCCTCTGCCCAAATTTACACAGAGGAGCTTGTGTTTTGAAAACATACAAAATTGTTCCACCAACAGCTAAGGAAGATGTCATAGGGTTAAAAAACCCGTGAGTTCTAAGATTGGAAGCTACATTACTTGCAACCAGAACAGAGACACTCTGAGAAAGTTCTCACTTCTTCTTCTAAAAAGGGAAATAAAACTGTTGTAACATTTTAGAGATGCTTAGCTTGAAACTCTTGAGATGGAGGGAGAAACATGACATCCCTGATTTTTCTTTCAAAATCCAGAAAATAAGCTATTGTTGCAGTATGAGCTCTCTCTTGGGTACTGGAAATTAAAATTGTCTTTTTTAGACTGAAAAGATGCAGCTGTGTGGGTAGATGATAGAAATCTATAAACTCATGAATGAAACAGAGAAAGAGGGAGGAAAATCCATTCACTCTCTCTTCCACTACAAAGAGGGGTTGCCCTTTATTATATTTGCATATGCTACAGAGTACAAGGGCAGCTTCTGAGACACACTATACCAGGGTAGAAGAACCCTTTGCTGCTGAAATACAGAATTACTGCCCTGTTTCTACAGTCCTCCTTAGTCATCTGCTGTTAACTGCTACTGAGATAGGATCCTGAACTAGGTGTCCTTTGAGCTAGCCCAGTAGAACTGCTCTATGTTATAGAGCAACAAATACATTTATTAAATAGTGGGCACACCCAATGCCTAAAAATGTGTTTTGCTGTTCAAGGGATGCACTTCCAGAAGATAAGGGGGGATTTTATACCACAAAGAAAACAACATACCAGGATAACAGCCACAAGAAAACAATGCTTGCAGCACCAATCAAACATCTATATAAGTATACTGCCTGGAAGCAAACCTTCCCACATGTAGATGTTCCTTCTGTTGGACTCTCTACATAATGTCAGGCAGAATTTAAGCCCAAGTTCTGATCTCTGGTGCTAAGGTCATGTTTAGTAAATTTTAGCCAAGACATTTCCACCATCTATCATTTTGTTTCCTTCTTAAGATTCCCACTTGCAGTGTAGCGTAAATATACTATTGAGATGAATACTTGGGTAAGAGTTACCTGAGGTCTGTTCAGAGGTGTAAGTGTGAGGACTTGCAGTAGAGATTCTAGCTGATGTTAAAAAATAAAACAAAACCAACACGTTACAATTAACCTTAGTGTGCATTTATGTAGTGAAAAAATAGAAAATGTTTCTATAAAAATTTGCTAGCACCAGCTACCAAAGTACATTGGTCAGCCACTTGTTCCATATATTATTATGCTTTTTAAAAACATGAAAAAAAAATAAAATCAAAGGAAGATAAAGGAAGTTGATTTAAAAAAAAAAGTCTATACTAATTTTATGTCTCTGGGCTTTACTCTAGAACCAAGCAAGAAAAAGAAGCACTGCATTCTTCAAAAAAGCTGCAACTACAATGCTTTGGATGAATTAAGTACCCTATGCTGCCCTTTCTCTTATATCCCACAAATAGTCTTTCTAGCAAAGCTCAGTAGTGCTGTGCACCTCAAAACAAAGCATCATGCCCTGGGGTTGCAGCAGTGCCAAATACAGACTGATTTAAATAGCATTTGTCCTGGTTTGAGCCAGGATTAAGCCAATTTTCCTGTATCGCTACGTCTAGGCGGGATTCTGACCTAGAGGTGCTCGGTCAGAAGCCCATGATGGGAGCCTCGTGCCAGTGGCTCCTCAGCCAGTGGCTTAAACCAGGACAGCATTAACAGCTGATCCTCAAAGTCCTAAAGATCAATCATATCAATGATAATAAAAATAATTTCCACCACAAGCTTTGAAATCCAGCCTCAACAGCAGATTTACAACAATAGTACTGACAAAGAGCACCTCTGCACTCACCTTTCTCTATCACAACCTTGTGATTTGTCATCAGATCATTGAACAGCCCCGGGATCTCCACACGACAGCAGTATATCCCACTGTCTGCTTCCTCAGCATTCACGATTGTGAGGGACACGTTGCCCCTCTGCAGGTCCCCTTTCAACGTGTACCTGCTGTTGTACTGGTGAGACACCTTCCAACCATCTGTCCAGATAATGGTCCGATCACATTTTGAAGGAGGGCAGCTGCCACGACCCCAGCACATTGATGTGAGGTCCTGACTCCCCCTCACACTGTAAGAGCAGGGCACGGTGATATTCTCACCAACCTTTCCCTTCACAAGTGATCCTGATATTGTGGGGCCTGTGGACAAGAAGCCAAACATAGTTGCTGAACACACTGTACACAAGTGGAAGCTTCTCATGCACCCTGCATGCCCCAATAACTCCCATCTCACAAACACCACCAGGCATTACTGGATTGGGTTTTCCATGAATAGATGTGAATCCCAGCACGACTGACACAGTGAGGGATAATGATCAGGCCAGTGATTTATTCAGAATATGTCTCTAGCCAGAAAAAGAAGAAACAAAATTTCTACAGCCTGTGCAGGTAGGCAAAGAGGTGAAGAGAGAACAGAGATCAGATCTGTACAACTCCATGACTTCTCTTTAGCCACATGGACTCTGCTAACTCTATTTTTTTCCTTAGCTCAGATTTAATCAGAGCCACACACAAGGCAACAGCAAGACATTGGCTTTCATTAAAACCATTGTGGGAAACTCTTCCTCCATTCCAATGAAAAGCCACTAAAAAAGTTTCATCAGAATGGTCAGTACTCAACACATTTATATTACCTAGTGACAGATTTTGCCCATCCCTACCAGAAGAGATTTTTCAGAGCTTTTCTGAGAAATGTTATACCTTTCTGACTGCTTTATTTTCTTCCCTCACTCTTATGCAGTTTCTAACTTGTTTGGTTCCTATTAAAGGTAATTCTTCACGTTTCCAGAAGGCTGTGTCACATTACTCAAGTCAAAACACTGCAACCTAGCAGTCAGTAGCCCATGCATCACATCAAGATAGTTCCTTTTGCTATTTTAGACCATTTGGGTGAATATTCCCTGTAGGAAGGTTTTAATAAAAGCTGTGTCAAGTGCCAGCCAAAGTAATTTGTGCTCTGGTAATCCAGCTAGACCCATTCATAACCACTTCCTTCTAACAGGTAACACAGTGGGACTCCTGATGTGCACATTCTGTTTGTACTTCAAAGAAAACTGTCTGCAATATAGTGCCCAACACACTTCTTACTGAATTCAGTAACGTGGGAACACCTGTGTAAGTATTTTAATCTGCCTGTGTAAATATTTCAGGGATAGAATCCTCTGCAACAACTACAGGTAACAAATTATCTCCATTAAAAGTTTAGCCCAGTCTATAATTAGGAAGGGAGCTCCCCAAGGCGGGTCTGCCAACATGCACCAGTGGATCCCGAGCACTGCCTGCCTGGATGGCAGCTGCCTCTTGGGAAAAAGCTGGTTTGCCTGGCTCAGCTCATTCATTTTCCTAACCTAAGTCATTACAGCTCAAAATAAGTCTGCAGGCGGATTTTGCCACCATAGAACATTAGAAGTTGTAGATATATATATATATAGAGATATATATACTTCTGTTTATATTTTTTTTTTAATGCATGTCTCTCCATTTGAAATTCAAATAAGGGAGATATATATATAGAGATATATATATATATATATATAAAAGCAAGCTCAAAATGAATCTCATCATAAAAGGCTTTATGAAGAACTACAAGAAACTGTATCTGTATTATCACCTTTCTTTCTACTGAACAAATCCAACTCCAAATTGTTCATGCCTATCTACCTATAATGGTACACTCTGTAACCTGTTCTTTCCAGTGTTATTGCCTTTAGCAATATTTTCCTAGGATTGCTTTCTCAGAACATAAAAGGAAAAATTACCCATTTGTCCCAATAAAACTTCATATTGGCAAAAGAACACCAGAAGCTACAGCTGACCTTTCCCTTGCCTTTGCAATCATCCACCTTCACAAGACCTGTTCAAGTGAAACATTCTCTTCTTACATCTTTTCTAAAATCATTTTAAATTCTCTGCTCAGATCATTATCTAAACAATGCAAAAGATCACTCACTAATTAAATGAGCTGACAGCCCCAGAGGCAGCAGCTTTAAAACCATCATCCCCTGAATGTGATTTTGTTTTAAAAGAGGGATAAGGCTGGAAGACAACTATTGAACCACTGTCATAAAGTTCTATTCATAACACAAAACTACAGTTTCTGTGCTATGTGACACTCTTCCCATAACATAAGTGTCTCTCTCTGCAACCCTTGGAAACATTGATATGCACGTCACCTCCATCCATCTGCACCTATTCCTTTAGGCCCACTTAGTTACCTGCAAACAGGAGCAGAAGAATGCAGCTCAGGCAGAAGGAAGACAACATTGCTGCTGAAGATGAGGAGCAACACTGCCGTTCAGCCTTCAGGACACCCACATTCAATAAACCTTTTCTTCTTCACAAACTTCTGGTTTTACTCCTCACTACGTCATCTTCAGACACAGATGAGAAACACCCCCTGGTCTAACCCAGACTGCTCTTCCTGTGGTTAGTCTGCTCCTCCCTAACAGCACAGCCAAGGGCTGCTGGTAGCACACACATTCCAACTCTTGCTGACTGTGGTTTGACTAACAATCAGGTAACTTTGATAAAATATTTTGCAGATCTTCAGAAATTAACTTCTCATTTTTTCCAGATCTGCTTAATTACAATAGATTGAACTGTTGTCAGCACCACTGAGCTGTCACAGCAATCCACACTCCCTTGCCCATGCTTCTCCCCACACCTTTTTTTTGCCAAAGTAGACAGAATTTTGATAAGAGATTACATATGATACGTAATGGAATGTAGTGAACAGAGACAACTTGGAAAAATAAGATTCCTAGAAGAATTACTTAACCATTTAATCAAGTTTTTGTTCTAATACTCAAAAGCAATGCAGAGCATCTTCAGGCAAATGCCATTTTCTTTGTGGGTTATAATTTGGTAGTATTGGAAAGCTGCCCACTGCTTCACAGTTGTAGCCTAATAGAGTTGCAGCCTCTGACTCAAAAATTCTGCCAACATCCAGGCTTATATAAAGCAGTATGAAATGACATACAGAATACAGGTCACTTTAGAAGTAGAGTGGAAAACACACTGTTCCAGACTTGAGGCTCACAGACAAGCTGAAATACATCTTCTGAGAAATGGTGACCTGTGGCCACTCTCCCTGTCCCTGGATTACCTGACTTTTCTTGAGGACATCTTGTCTTTTTGTATTTTTTGTACTAGAACTGCAGCTGCAATCAAGTATATTTGATGTAGGCCCAAAAAACATTCTTTGCTTCAGTTCATTTATTCTTTTCCTGCACTGAGCTCAACTGCCACCAGCCAAGAGCTAAATGCTTTTGCCTGCCTATTTAAGTAGCACTTCCAAGAACACCAGAATTATCAAATGAAACAGATACAGAGCCTGTTAAACCACAAGGGAAAACAAGAATTTGTATGACTTCCCTTTCCCATAAAATGCTCTTGGCTTCCAGCTGCTCTACATACTTCTCAGAAAATATTAGTCCTGTGGTGTTACGTGGCAAAAAGATGGATGTAGAATTGCCCTAACAGGAGGGGCAGGATAAAGAAGCCACTTCTTCACTATCAAATCACTTTCTTCCCTCCTACTATGGGGGATTGATCCAACTCAAGTGTTCTTTTAAACATGGTTGATGCAATACTTGCAGGATCCCACTTGATGCAATACTTGCACTTCCACTTCATGCAATACTTGTAGGATCTCTTGAACTTAAAAATACTCAACTGGCATAAAGGCTAATGGTTCAGTGAGACCCCCCTTCCTGAGAAAATGGCTCAGCTGGGCACAAAGCCCACCTAAAAGGCAAACACAAAGCACCTGCACTGCAAATTCATGCTCTTCATGTACATATATTAACTATGCAGGACTTGTAAGTTAGTTTACACATCTATGTGTACAATATTTAAAAAAATGCTATTTTTATAAGGCTGATTATGACTTAAACCCAAGAAAATTAAAATCCATTTAAATTCATTTAGTTGTTGACATTCCTGACAGTGTTGTCTCCAAGGCAAATTATTCCACATTACCTCTGTAATAAAGGAATGTTTAGGTTCTTTTTAGTACAGTTATATTATTACAAACTAGAAAGGAATGGATTTTGAAGACTTGACACTAATTTTATTGTTAATAATGAATTACACATTTGTGAAAAAACCCACTGAAATTGTAAACAACTTATCTGAAATGGAGGAAGTGTCAACTGCAATTCCTGTCAGTCAAATCCTTCACTTGCTTCCACACTGTAAAGCATTTTCTTAAAAAGCATACAAAATTAAAAAAGGGAAAGTGACAAATGAAAACAGAACAGAAAAAGCTACATTTAATCTGTGCCTAGCATCTAAGGTGATAACATTTAACAAAAAAGTATCTTTGTGTTTCTACCAATAAACACACAACTGACAAACAGTAAACATTTTCATCTGCCCAGTCACTCACAACCCCCAACAGCTGTACAACAAATGCTTTGTGTATTTGCGTAACAACTAAACAAAATACAATGTATTTCTTCAAAGTTCATTCTGCCTCTCACTATGGCCACCTAATAAGAAGTGGTTTTTTTCATGTCATTTCATCAATAATACTACACATGGCTGCATCTTTGTCCAAAACTTGATCTCTCTTGCCACCGGAACGCTCTCTCTGCTTTTCACTCTGCCCAACGCAGCTGCTGCCATCATCAGTATCCATTGCTTCCACTTCCACTCTCAATCCTCCCTCCGAATGAGGCAGATCATCAGGCAAGGACGCCAGGCAGTTCTGAATCATCTCTACAACTCGCTCCAAGTGCTTCTGAAACCGCTCTGCCGTTTCCAGCCGCTGCCTCTTCTGCACCTCCATCATCACCCTCAGAGTCTCCCGTGCCTGGTGAGGGCGATACTCGTTTATAAGATGATGGACATGGACAAAAAGTAGTTTCAAGTCTTCCAGTTTCTCCTCTCGCTTTATACTGCCTGGACTCCTTATCAAGATATCCAAAAGGTCCAAAAAGTTGACGAGGATAGACATATTAAGCTTTCTTAATTCCTTCTTGTGATCAAACTGCATGGGATGTAACCGCTCGATGCCCTGGCTCTCCAGGGGTCGAATAATCAGATCATCACACTGGAACTGATTACCAAACATCATGTAACTGTCCTTCACAGGAGGAGGTGGCTTTGGAGCCAGGCCTTTGCGGATGTTTTCATCAGTATATTCTTTTATATATTGCATTGGAGGCGGAGGAAGGGCACTCACTTGTTGAGGTTCACCCATTTTGCCAGACAAAAATACCTAGGGAATGTCCCAAGAAATAGACATTAATCTATTTGTGTGACAACCTCATCATATCAGCAGAAGCAAAGGCAAACTAGGAGAGCTGGTTCTGAGAAAACCAGAAGAAAATCATCTCAATGTGCAGGACACAGGAAGCTCCCAAACAAATCCATGATAAGTTGTTGTTTGTTTTTTTTACTCAGGCGAGCTTCTAGCAGGATTAGTTGAACGGGAATCATATGAAGTGCCCACTCTCCGACCCACGACAGACCAGCCTGTCGGGACCGCGGGCACAGAAGCGAGCGAGGCCCCGCGCGCAGCCGCGGCCTGGCGAGGTAAGAACACGCTCAGCCACGGGGGAAACAGCGCAGCCCGGTGGCGGCCACGCACCGCCCCCCAGGGCAGGATGCAGCCCAAACCCCGGGTCCACAGC